TATGTTGGTGTATGGGTGCCAATGGGGTGTACAATAGATGTGTGTTTGTGTGTGTGTCTGTTGCTGTTGTGCCTGGGAAAACAAGTGGTTGCCGTGGTGAAGGAGAAACGGGAACAGAAATGAAGCCAAAGGATTGACAGGATGGTTTCATGAAGCATTTCGATGAAGACAGACACCCTGTAATGGAAAAAATAGTAATTCAGGGCAATAATTGCATAGTTTAGGGCCCCTTAATTAAGGCCCTTAAAATAAATTAGTTCTGATTGAAAAGCTACAAAATAGAGTGAAAAGTTCTGCTGGGTGGAGTTCCTTCCAAAAGAAGGAATACTATATGGAAAAGTTTGTAATTAATTAATAGACATTTCCTTTTGATGGAAGAATACCATACCATACCACCATAATACTATCCACCTAATGATTCGCTCCGCCCAAGGGAGCTAGCTTCTGGAAGTGATGTTTTGTATCTTTTGGTATACGACATTGATAGTCATGTAAATTAATAACAAAAGTGACTTCAATTGCACAAATTTAAGTGGTCGTAGGCCTAGCGTACATAATAGGGTACATTTACTTGAAGCTTTCACTTTTCAACCCAAAAAGGGAACAGCTTTTCCCTACTCTAGGGCACCCTACACACCCTGCTCAGCACACCTTTCTATACAGCTCCAGCTACAGGGTATACCAACTGAAGCCGCTCCTGCAACTTCGTCCAGACATGTGACAGCTCCAGAGGGCAGCGCAGCGCAGCGCCGAGCAGCGCTCCTTCTTCAGCAGAGCAGCAGAGTCCCTTCGCTCACACACCACACCCACTCCCATGTCCTGGCGGAGCGGAAATGAAGCCGCCGCTCGTAAGCAAACATGACAGCTCCAGCGCTCCCATTAACGGTACTAGTTCTTGTTGTTATTTTTATTGTTGTATCTGCTTTGCCTCTCTAACGGTTCGATGACGAGAGGCGTGACAAATAACAACAAACAAAGTGAAAGAAACAACAATTACAGGAAAGAAATGCTTGTTGCGGTGCTCGAAGGTTTCAGTACCCTTTGCCGAACCATTGATAAAGTCATTTCCATTTTGAAACAACTAATGAAACTGCAATGTGCCTCGTTTGTTTTTATTATCTTTCGAAACAAATAGTTTTTTTCGTAGTACACATGCACTTTATGTGGCTTCTTTCGTTTCAATCCAAACATCTCATCCAAACCTTCATACCCTTTATTGAAAGGGTATAGCGCAACCAACTCTGATTGGAAAAGTGCACCAAAGGTTGGTTTTGCACTGCTGCTCGAACTTCCAGCTGCAGTTCGAACTGGAGGTGACAGTCCCCGAGGGGAGGAGGGACAGAGACACAGAGAGAGAGAGAGAGAGAGAGAGAGTGGTTTAAATAGGACTTGGGACAGGCGGCGACCACAAAAACAAATTAAGTAAATTCAACTAAACAAAAAGGTAGAGAGGGATAGGGAGGTGAGAGAGAGAGAGAGAGCAAGCGAGCACAAAAAGGGAATTGATATAAACAATGAGCAGCAAACGGCAAAAAAATAGGCGACAAACAGTAACAACCACAACAATCATGAAGGCAGGCAGCCAGGCAGGCAGCAGCAGCAGCGGCGCAATCAAAAGATAATAAAAAGCAGCAGCGATTACGCTGGCAGAGCAGTCAACGTCCATGCCGGCAGAGAGCACACAGCACACACGCACACACACATCAACTTCACTCCCCGCGACGTCTGTGATTATTATGCATGCGTGAGCGAGTCGATTCCAAGTCGCGTCGTGTCTCCAAAGGTGAAAAGAAACGTGAAAGAAGATGTGGCCGCGGGAGAGGGAGAGGTAGAGAGGGGAAGATAGAAGAAGCTATAGCAATTCCCAATTCAAATGCAAAACAAATTCAAGAAAATCGAACAAAGCGAACGAACAGAGATACAAAATAGAAAAAAAGAAAGAAATACATAACAGAAAGCTAAAAGAAACTTTGTGCCATCCCATAGTTTCGTACAGGGGACGCTCGACATTCGGAAACCTCAGTTATTGGAAACACCATTACAGAAAAACAAAAATGATGTTCTTGAATCCGAGATAACAGTTTGTAATCATTCAAAAGGTTGGCCTCTTTTCGCACACTCTACAAAAATGGGTCGTATCGAAAGAAACTATCAACAAGTTACACAATGGAGAAGTTTCAGATAAAATAAACCGCATTCTGAACCACAATTTGAAAAATTTAGTCATATTTAAACGATTTTATTCCATTAAACAATCAACAAAAAAAAATCAAAGTTTCAATATCAATATAATTGAATGAAAAAGAAATTTCTTTTGTTTTATTTAGACAAATGTAGACAAATGATGAAATACTCGTGCAGTAGCCCCGGAAACATCAGTATCCAATTGTCGAGCCTTCACTGTACATACAAATACCACCGTTACCTCCAACACACATGTACAGACATATGTACATGTATACATGTGCATATGTTTAGACAAAATATTGATTGAAAATCAATAGGCTTTCTGCCGCTTGTCATTCATTTCAGTTTATTCTCTTTAACGGACGCGTCCCAGAGAACCAGAATTCAAAATTGTGCCCTGCGATCGCAGTCGCTGTCGCTGTTTCTGCCGGCAAAACTTTACACTTTACATAAATACGTTTAAATACATACATACATACATATATGTATGTAGAAACATTTGTATGCAAATATAGAGATATGTGTGTCAGTGTGTGGTAGTTTCTGGATGTTCGTGCGTGCTGTCGCGACGACAAGCTGGGCTTGATAATTTCCAACACGTAGACCATTCCAGCCCTCAATAATACTAATACTACCCCCTACTAGCACTCACTAACACCAACACACACACACACACACTGTCATACCCATTGGGTATAGAGCAAAACAGACGTGAAAAGGCAAAAAAATGTCAACACACTTTTATTGTTGTTGATGTAATTACCCTTTAAAAGCCAATACCAAGAGGGTATATGCACGCCCAGCGACTGGCCACAAGTACTGTAGCATATTTAGGAGAGCAGTGGGTAAGCCACAGTCGACTCTATGCCCTCTGTATTTCGCCCGCTGTCTGTGTGGCGCTTTTTGGGGCTGTCGTTGTAATCAACTTTGTTGTTATTGCCGCAAAATGGAAAAAAATGCCAAAGAACAGAATAAAGTAGAGCAGCACCCAAGTCGGCGGCATAAGCCACACACACTCACACTCATCAAGAGAGATAGAGTGCAGAGAGAGAGGGGGAGAGAGTGATAGCCAATGCGGCTTGAGGGGGGTGGTTGGGAGGTGAGGCTTGAAGCGAGCGTATGCACTGAAGCAGGGAGACGCTCTCGACATACTTACATACTTCAAGCTATGTTCAAAAGAGGGTAAGGCAGTCCCACTCTACGGGTGGGTGGTCTAGTTTGTTTGCCACCACCCCACCCTCTCTCTACTTCATGTACCTTGCTTACATACATTTACATTTACATTTGCATTAGCAGAAACACACACATTTCCATATACGAACCTCAACAGTTTTTCGACATTTTCATGCTATTTTCGCTGCCTCTCTGCCTCTGCTGCTGCGCAGCGCAGTCGCTGCTCACTTAAACGTTCTGCCTGCTGTGCTGCTGCTGCTGCTGTTGTTGTGGGGTTATTTTTTTTTGTCTCTGCTCTGCTGTTTCGCTTGATTATTTTGTTTTTGTTCCTCCCTCTCTTGTAACTTGCAATATAATTGGAATAGTAACGGTTGTTCGGCTATAGCTTTTGCTGTTAATTTCACATGCTTTCAATTAATATTTGGCCACGCACTTAAGAGAGGGAGTTGAATGGGGAGTGCGGGTGGGAGGTAGCGCGCTGCTGTTTTGCTACCTTTATTTGCACCTCAAGGTAACACTCGTCGTATAAGCGATATACGCTGATAAGAACGGAATTCTCTCTTGCACTCTCATGGAAACATTTTTCCTTCTCTTTTGCACGTATTAGATATGATACTTAAACGTCAGCACAAAAAATACACCAAATGCAACACACACACACAAACAAACTTAGTGAGCCGGCATTGACAACGTTTCAAGGGAGGTGGTGTTGTACCCCACCCCGTGTTGTACAGGTGGCAAATGGAGCAGCGGACCGCGAGCGTGGCGAAATGTGTCGAAAAGCGGCGCGTAAAATGTAAAGAACAGAAATCATACACAATGTACAGTACGAGTAGGTAGGTGGAACGGCAAACGTAGTAAATATAGTACGCAAAAGTTAATAAACAACGCAACAAACAAAACAACGCAGCGACGACGCGCCAACGGAACAGAATAGCAGCGCGTTGCGTCCGAAAAACACAGTCCGCTCTCGTTGAAGGTATAAATACGAATAGAGCAACGGTAAAACACGGTGAGTGCTAATGAGCGCCACGACAAGCCAGCTAGAGCATCGGCTCAGCACGCGCCGAAACGAAAGTTTACCGAGAGAAAGAGCGGGAGAGAGAGGCCTGACTGTTTGTGTTTGCGTGTGTGCGTGTCCATAGGAGAGGGCGCGTTAATAAGTCTCACAGGTGGTTGGGTTGGGTTGGGAGGTAGAATGTTAAGAGAAACAGCAAGCAGATGAATGGAAGGGTGCTAATTGAACTAGTCTGCGTTCATGTTCTATATTTACCGTTAGAGCGGCTCTGAGGGAGACCATTTTTGACCGATTTGGCAGCCCATCGCATTCAAATGTAACGTATAAGCGGCATGGTGCTGCCAGAAAACTGAGAACGATGTGCAAACCATAAACGGTCTTACTGTGGAAGTGCAGGCTCGGTCATAAGCAAACTATCCTCTATTTTAATATTCGGTTTAATATAATACTTACACAATATAATGACTTAGTTCGGTGAACAAAGACCGTTTACGATATATTATTTTTAGGTATATTTTGAAAACGAGACGGTATATTTTGGTATATTTCTGATGGTCAGACGGTATATTTTATCGGAATATCCGCGGTCACATGCACGGGCACACTGGCTACAAACAAAGAAAATTAGAAAATTTTGCAAAATAAAAACCGATTTAAATCGCTTAAGCTGGCAGATTAACTAATTCAAAATCATGACGGAGGACTGGCAGAGCTCGAAGTTTCGCCAGAATGTTATTTCCAAAATGTAAGCAATGCAAAAACACAGAAACAGTTCCATAAAATAAACTTTTTTACAGACACGACTTGTTGCCGCCGCATGCCCAGGATCAGACGAAGAATGCCAGCGTTATGGAGAACCACATTTTCCGCAAGTCTCGCAGCAAGGACGAGTACCTTGGACTGGTGGCGAAGCTCTTCATGCACTACAGGGAAATGTCGCGGAAGTCCCAACAGCAGCAACCACAACAACAGCAGCAGCAACAACAGCAGCAACAACCGCCGCCTCCAAACGCGGAAATGGGGCAGCAGAACATGATGCAGGATCCGCTGAATGCGCTACAGAACCTGGCCACCCAGGGCAACCGCAATCCCCAGATGATGCCCATGTCCGGAGGAGCTCCTGTGCCTGGCGGGCCCGGCACTGCGTCGAACCTGCTGCAGTCCCTCAACCAGCAGCGACCCGGCCAGCAAATGCAGCCCATGCCCAATATACGAGGCCAGATGCCTATGGGTGCGGGTGCAGGCGGTCCACAGCAGATGATGCAGGTACAGCAAATGGGCGGCGGCGGCAATGCCACCGGCGTGATGAACGTAATGGGAGCAGGCGGTGCCCAAGGACAGGGCCAGATTGTGGGCAATGCTGGCCAGCAGATGGGTGGCATGCCTAATCAAATGGTGGGCCCTGGGCCGAACAGTGGTCCCGCAGGTGGGACCGGTGGACCGAATGCTCCTCCTGGTGCCGGTGCCGGCCCTGTGCCCAATCAGATGCAGAGTGGAGGACCCATGAATGTGAATTCCATGCAACAGATGCCGCCCATGCAGCAGATCCAGCAGAACCAAATGGCGGTAAGTAATGAAAATCTAGGCCAAAAAAAACACTAATCGAATTCTTTTACAGATGGGCATGAGTCCCATGATGCGCATGGGCCAGGGTAACGGCATGGGTGGACCCCAGGGCATGGGCCAGGGCATGCAGGGAATGCCGCCCAATATGCAGCAGCCGCAGCACAATGTCGGCGTGGGCGGACCGGCGGGTCAGCAGCAGCAGGTGGTGCCCCCCAATGCCGTGCAGCAGGCTGGCATGAATCCCATGGGAGGCATGGGTGTCAATATGCCGCCGAATATCCAGCAGAAGCCAAACATGGCCATGGGCCAGGCGGGACAAATGTTCCCCGGCAATCGCGGTGGCGTCGTTGGTGGCCAGCAGGGACCGGGACAGCCCTTCATGCGGTCGAGTCCCTCGCCAGCGGATGCCCAGCAGCTGCAACAACAGCAGCAGGCACAGCTCCAACAAATGCAGCAGCAACAACAGCAACAACAACAGCAGCAGCAACAACAACAACAACAACAGCTTGTGGGAAACCAGACGCCGACGCAACAGCCGCCAACGCCACAGATGCCCACGCCGCAGATGATACCCAGTCCGGCACTGGTGCCGCAGTCCAGCCCCCAGATGATGATGCAGAATCCACAGCGAAACATACGCCAGCAGTCGCCGAGCAATGCCTCCATCAACACGCCTGGCCAGGTAACCGGCAACAGTCCGTTCAATCCACAGGAGGAGGCACTGTATAGGGAAAAGTACAAGCAGTTGACCAAATACATAGAGCCACTGAAACGTATGCTCGCGAAGATCAGCAACGATGGCACCAGTGAGTGACAATCGATAAATACCACAGAGATTCTCTTTCAACTCAAACTTTTCCTGTTTAGATGTGGAGAAGATGACCAAAATGAGCAAGCTGCTGGAGATCCTGTGCAATCCCACGCAGCGTGTGCCACTGGAAACGCTGCTCAAGTGCGAGAAGGCACTGGAGAGGATGGATCTGATTTCCATTTCGGGCCAACAGTTTGGCGTAAGCTATCAAAATACACTCCAACGAGTCATGCCCTCAAAAATGACTTGTTTTTCCCCCTAGAAATCCTCGAATCCACTTTTGGAGGTCATCAATACCACGCTACAGAGTCCCATAGCCAATCACACATTGCATCGCACATTCCGACCCACACTGGAGTTGCTCTTCGGCACGGATATCGTGGCTCCGGTGCCCGCAAAGAAACCGCGTATTGAGGAGAAGTCCTCCCCCTTCGAGCAGGATGTGCCCCACGTGCTGCAGGGCGAGATTGCCCGCCTGGACACCAAGTTCAAGGTGAAGCTGGACACCACGTCGCAGATCAACAATAAGTCTATTCGGTTGATCTGCTGCCTGGACGACAAGCGACTGCCCAGTGTCCCGCCAGTGAGTGTCAGTGTCCCGGAGGAGTACCCGTGGCAGGCGCCCGACTGCTCCCTCACCGAACAGGAGTACTCGGCCACGCCCTTCTTGCAGACCGTGCAACAGGCTCTGATTGCACGTATCTCCATGCTCCCGAAGAACTACTCGCTCTCGCACCTACTCGACACCTGGGAAATGGCCGTGCGGCAGGCCTGCTCGCCCCAGACCAAACCCAAGGTCTGCGAATTTACCGCTCTTTTTGGGGTGTGAATAATGATCTGAAAGTACTTAGTGTTAGGTGAAAACTTATTCTATATCGTATGATTACCGTCAATATATCAAGTTATCATTTGATTCGAGAAAACCGATTGCAAAAAATTATCTGGTAAAGGAAATATTCGTATTTAGTGTAAGAGTATTCCATATCGTATAAAATAAACCGAAGAAACTATGTTTATCGTATTTTATAGTCGTCGATAACAATCACAGAATTTGTTTGTTTATACTTGTTTAAATAGAGCATGCGAATATGTCTATTTGTGCTAATTACGAGTTTATTTATATATTTCCTAGCTGAAAACTTACCAACATTTATTTAACGAATGAGATGAGTCTGCGACAGGTTCTCTTCAAAGTTCACATTTCAAAGATATATCCTAAATCAAAGAATCCATTGCGATTCCATTAATTTTCTTTCCAAAGCACGGATTTTTTAGCTTTTCTAAAAATGGTAATAATAGCCTCTATAATGAAAATAGGACTCCTAGTACTACTTCACATGTTTCACAATGAACGATCTTTCTTTACCGAGTCCTGTAGATATGGACGTTCAATATATGTCGGAAATTAAATCTCCAAACTATCCATATTTTGATTTCATTCATTTGACCGACTATATTCTACAGAAAGAACTTTATCGACCTCCTGAATCTCTAATTGCTGCCGAACACAGTCTTGAATCCTAGTTATAATTCATATTCAAAACCGACTACCATCCATTCACGGGATCTGATATTTTCCATAAATCAAAGTAAAATTCAAACATAACTATGTTTCATATCCATTTGCTTTATAGAAAAGCCTTAATGCATTTGCCAATCTATCGAAATTTAGTGCCAGATATCCTGATGTCCCACTGGTTTTTATTTATGTGCTTCCTTCCAGCCCATGAAGAAAATACTCGAACTTGAAATTATTTTGGAAAATATATATATTTTCGTTTTGTTTTGAGATTTGGTCCGTGTGGGGGATCCATTATGATTTTGTTGTTTCGGTTGTTCTTTTCCACATTTAGCAATAAATACAATTTTTGTGTTGTGTAAGATTAGGAGAATTAAGAGTACGAGCGATAACTACAATATGTTACAATAGAAAATAGTTAATAGTTAAGAAAACTTAAATATCACAGATGTTGCCGCTAAATATACGCGTATATGTGTATAAAGACGCACTAGGTATAATCAGAATTAGAATCAGAAGATCGCTAAACTAAGATGTGCTCTGTGCCCTTGGAAAGAAAGAAGTGGCGCCTCCGCTTCTCCGCCACTGATCATTGGAACGGATCGCGTGCGATCCAGCTCCAGATCGAAGCGTAGCAAAGGTTACTGAATATTAATTTGATATATGCACAAAACGATGACAAGATCTAGCTCTTAATCTATCTCTTAAGACTACACCCCCAGCTGGGCTCCACTCTCGCTCTATCTTAATCCTTCTGCTCTCCAGCTGGTGGGTGATACTGTGTTGTGGGATGAGATTGGTTTGGCGTTCCTCCTGCTCTCTGCTGGTCCTCCTCTATCGCTGCGCCTGCAGCAGAGTTCCCACTCCGCTGAAACTAAAGCCGCTCGACTGCTGCTGCAATCGCAGCAGATCCTGGGCACTGTACACCTGAAGCGTGGCTGGCGAGGATTGCGTGACTGGCAGCGATGTTTGTACTGAGCTGGAGACGGCCGCCGCTGGGGCAATGGCTCTCAGGTGCAGCGTGGGGTCGCAGAGGGCGGCCACGGCTGCAGATGATGCGGAGGCCACAGAAACGTTGCGGTTGACGCCGTTGGCCTTGTCCTTGTTGTGACGCTTCACGTGCTTGGATAGGTGGTCGCTGCGCATGAATTTCTTCTGACAGACGCCGCACTGGAACTTCTTCTCGCCGGTGTGGGTGCGTTTGTGACGGGAGAGTTCGTCGGAGCGGGAGAAACGCTTGTCGCAGTTCTCCCACTTGCAGACGAAGGGACGCTCGCCAGTGTGGACGCGCTGATGGGCCTTCAGGTGGCTGCTCTTGAAGTAGTTCTTGCCGCAATCCGGGAAGGTGCATTCGTAGATGCGGCTCCGGGTGGCCGCTGCCTGGGCGGCAGTAATGCGCTGATGCTTCTCGGCCGGTGATTCCTGAGAGCTGGGTGGCGGACATGGGTTTGGGCACTGTTGGGCGGCCACTGTGCTGAGCAGAAGCAGCTGGGATGCACAGGCGATTGATGGAGAGGTTGGTGGGGCGATAAGGATGCTGCTGGAGGGTGGCACAAAGGCAATGGGTTCCGTTTTCTCTGTTTGCGGCTCTTCCGCTGGTTCAGGAGTTGGAGCTGGAGCTGGGGCTTGGACAGGTGCTGGTGGCTGGGGCAAAGCCACCTCAGCGGCCCGCTTGCGGTTCATCTTGAACTTGAGATTGCGCCACACATTTGCCTCGGGGTAGTCATCCTCCATAGCGGGACTGACTGTGCTGCTTGTCGCGGTAGTGCAGGAGGAGCTGCAGCTGGAGCTGGAGCTGTTATCATCCTGGGAGGAGGAGACGGCGCCCGAGCTGTTGACCCGCATGATGACACTGACGCGTTTGGGCTCATCATCGCTCTTGGACTCCTCCTCTTCCTCGGGCTTTTGTTGGTCGGGCGGCGGTGTCATGGTCATCGCAGGCTGTTCCAGACGTGGCTTCTTGCTGGGCACTTCATCCATTTCTGGGGCCTCATCCTCAGTGTCCGAGGGATTCGGTGTGATGATGCCGCCACCATTCTTCTGGCTCTTCTGGGCCACCAGTTTTAGCTTGGCCTTTAGCAGATTCTCGTTAACCTGTTGCTCGTCCTTGGCCACCTGAAGAGATAGAGAGAGGAAAGAGTGATGATTAGTAGGGGTTTAACAACCTGATCCCGGAGTGCATTCACATTCACGTCGTCCACGTTCACTTTTCCTCCAGACCGGACAATACCGCAGGGCTCTGACCCACAATGACTTTTGAGTCGAAATATTGTTGCTAATTACGCAGCCATCACGCAAGGCCGTTCACCGTTAACCTTAACCTGTCAGCGGTGGGTGGGGTGTAGGTTCATTGCACTCATTTTGGCCAAGAAGGTTGATATATAAATGTTTATTTTTTGGCGGTTTTTCCACTTTTTGTTTGAAAGCCGTATGCCAACGGTTCAATGAAATTTGAATTGCCCGCCCAAAAGCAGGCAATGGAGAAGTGCAGCCACACTAATGACTACAGCTATGACGTGCTGCAGGTGGGCCGCAAGTGGTGGGTGCGAGGGGGAGCGCTATATAAACGTCGTTGAAATCTTTTTATGGGCTCGGCACGTTGCTTTCCATTGTGTGTGTGAGTGCGTGACTCTGTTTGTTTGCCAGATAAATGAAAGGGGTGAGGGGGAGAGTGGGGCAGTATAAGCAATGTGACATATTTTTATGAGACCGGGGCTTGGCTGTGGCCCTGTGTTTGCCTAGCCTCTCTCTCCTCTTCTTCTTCTTCATAGTAGTATTTTCCTTGCCGTTTCGTCTAATTGGCAAACTCACCTTCGCATGCTCGTTCCCTCTCACACACAAACGAAAGCAAGCTCTCTCAAGCACAAGACTCTCCCAAATATGTCAAACAGAAGGTAAGGCGTGAGCGCATAGCAAAACATAATTAGAGGCCGTTATTTTCAGCTGCTTTACCTTCTATTTGATATGCCTTGCTTGCCCTCTCTTTGGACTAACTATGTGTGTGTGCGCTCCTCTCTCGGCGACGACGAGACTGTATGCTGGTGTGCTAGGGGTCCAATGTTCATCCCCCGCTACACTCCGCCCGTTGTTTCTTTCCCATAAGCCTGAGCATGCGGTGTTCACGTGAACGCGTGCTGGCTGCGTGATCTGGCCTAGCCATGGGTGGAAAAGAGATGGGACACTTTTGTTTTTAGAAACGCGACAAGTGGAAGCGAGACCGTAAGAACGTCTGCTCCCATGGCCCCCCTGCGTGACTGTGGCCTGGGAGGAATGGTAGGAAAAATGTGCGGGAATTTCTGTTGAGGCCCAGGGTCCGGGATGCATTTGGCTCTAATCAATTTCACTATTCCACTAATCACAATCGCATTGTAGGTCAAACACACTCACTCCCCCGTGAGTCACACTCCCGATTTACTTACATTTTCCAATTTATTTTCCCTGAGGGGGGGCGTTGCTGGCGGCGATGGCAGCAGCAGGGTATCCATATTCATATCCATTTCTTTGTGGTTTAGTCTTGCACTTTGCACTCTCTTTGCGTTGCACTTTTCTCTTTCACTCTACCCTGGTCTTGCTAGCCGGGTGTAGGAGTTAAATGTCTGTCTGTCTCTTTCTCTTATCACTTGTTTAATCTTTTATTTCTGCTCCGAGATTTTGCACAACTTTGTAACTGTTTCTTTTTTTAAACTCTTCAATGGACTGCGCTTTTCGGCCAGGCCGTGTGGAGCGGTAGCGGGAGCTAAGCGAACCGTTGCGTTCAGAATTCAAAAGACGAATGAAACAACATTCAGTCAGCGGGCTCCCAACAGAGCTCCCTCTGCTGCCGCGTCGCGGTCGCTGCTACTCTGTGCTGTGTGTGCCTGTGTGTGTGCGAGGGAAGCGCCGACGTAATCACTTGTAAGTGGGTAGACATGAAGGTGTGTGTCGGGGGGAGGGCAAAAATCGTCATCGTCGTTTCGTGAGTGGAGCAACCAGTGCAATGAAACCGAATCGAATGGAACCTCGGGAACCCGGACAGCGGTCGCACAACAGCAGCCATCAGGCAGCGGCAACGTGGGCAGCAAAACGCCACTTTTCTTCTCTGCTCTGCGGATGAGACCCCCGACTGACATTCTGAAAAGGTCAGGTCTCTTGTGCTCGCTGCCTTCTCATTCCCTCCTCTACATAAATACATGTGTACATATGTATGTATGTATGTATGAATGTATGCTTTGAAATGGAAGATCTCTTAAGCGGAGCAGCGGCCACCACGTAACCAACGCATGGACGGACGTCATCAGCTGTTTACTTGAGACTTGTTTTTCGATGGTCGGATGGTTTAAGGAGGGGAACCGTCAGAAGATTCCATTCCATTTGGTGGGGGGCCCCGCCCCTGTCTATTCATAGGCTGTCCATGCACAAGCCGCGTGCACAGCACAGCACACATTCGCACAAACAAACTTGTGGAGCTCACACAGACACACCCCAAAGCCATGACTGGGAGTCGGGCCGCCGCCAAAAGCTGACGCTGACGCAGTTGTTGCTACGGAAGTTCGTGATTAATCGAAAAAAAAAAACAGGCTCGAACGCGGTCGAGACGGGGTCTTAGCCATTGAAACGCAATGGCAGACGCGCCTGGCATCCGATTAGACAGATCTCGGCCTCGTCGAATATATTTGCATGGGCATTATAGCCAAAGTCAGACTTTGGTGTCTGGAAAGTCTCGAGTGGGGAGGGAGGCAAGGCGCAAGATTTCATTAATGGACGCAACACAAAGAGATAGCGAACGGTAGAATGAGAGACAGTATTGGGAGATCAACAGTTGAGCGAATCGTCAGCGTTGCCAGCTGCTATGTAAATGTTAGGACATATCATGAAATTTAATATGAGTCACTGTGTAGTGGAACTGTAAATAATCAAGTGGACAAGTAAACTGTAACCCAAACTGGCCACATAAACAATTTAGTTTATGTATCAAATATATACATTAAGTAAATCTAACACAGTGGCCTGGCAACGCTGTGTGTTCGCCTGTACAAGTTTTCAAAGCAAAAAGGGGCTCGTACACCGAACACACACAAAGAGAACCAGAGTGGAGAGAGAGAGAGCGCGCCAGCAGAACAGCTGTGACTATTATAATGTGGCGTTGGTTGGCTCTCTTGCGCAACAACAACACAACTAGCAAGGCATGCCACAGAGGGTATCAAGTGTATGCTAGATTCAGTAAGTACCCTTACTGGCCTGGTTCCAAAGCATGTGTTGGTCATTCCCAAATAAATAGAAGTGATATTTTGTATTCGTCGATTAGTAGTAAAGAATTTGCTTTCTTGATACAAATACTCCTTAAATGGACTAACTTCGAATTGTTTTATTCATCTGAACACCAAGAAATTAAGTAATAGTAGACGAAAACTTAAAAAACTGAACACATCTATAATTACTGTGGTTCTATTATTGAAGAATCGCTGGAGAAGGTATCAACTAGTCGACCCTTTGCGAATATAACCTTCTTACTGGCTGAGCATGTTTGCCTCTGGGTCTGTGGCTCTGTGTGTGTGTGCGTCAGTGTCTGGGACTGTATCACGCGTTGACCTCATGGTGTTCACGTGAACATTTGTTGATACTTTGGTAGGCGTTCGTTCGCTGTGATGGAATGAGAGGGACGGAGAGAGCGAGAAAGAGAGGCTAGCTGTCTGTGGCGTGCTTTTATCATGGAAGTGTGTGCGTGTGTGTGTGGGTGTTTGTAGTGCTTGCGTTTTTTTTGGTTTTTGTTATTGGAAATGGAATTCGTGTGTAAATTTGCGCGGAACTGAAGCGCAGTCTCATGGCATGATGGCCTCCACTCTCTCGAATGTGGGCGTGTAAATGGGACGATGTACCGTTACACCCGCTCGTCCCCTTGGAAGTGCACTGCATCGCTCATTTGGAATGAAATAACTGCGTCGCAGTTGGAGGCCGCCTTAGCCTTACCTACCCCCTTCGCATGCCATTAGGGAAATCTCTGTAATTTAATCGTCGTCAAGAGGTGGGTTGTTCATACAAAAGTATCTAAATTTAGACAGAAAAACTCTGCCGGACACTCGGTCCCCGGGGGCCAGGTTCAAGTTCAGCTTCCTTGACATGCATCTGGAGTGGAGGCCGCCCACGCCTACGCACACACAGATACGCCCACCCACCTATCCCGATCCGAATCCAAATCCGGACTCGGAGAACACGTGCCCACGCACATTCTCAGTTGCACGTAGGCCGCCGCATACCCCACGCCCAGCGGAAAGGCAGGCCGACCTTAGAAAGAGAAACGATAGTGGGCGAGAGAGCCCTTTTTGGAGGGAGAGAAAGAACTTGCGCATTGACGCAGTAGCGTTACGTAGCGTCTGGTGACGTCACACAGACTACTCTTTTGCTCCTGTTGCGCGTCAAAGGTCAAACGTAAGAAGCTTCGTCGGCCGACAATGACGTTGGCGTTCCGGCACTGTACTCTCTCCGGGTTCAAGGCCTCTCTCTCTCTGCCACGATATGGATTATTAACGAGGAATTTCAAGCAAAAGCACAATCACTAGCCCGGCCATGGCCATGTGTCTCTTTTCTCAATCGCCGGACATTCGGAGGAGGCGTTGCTCGAGCGTCAATCACAGGTGGAGCCGCCTGACGTCAGACGCCCGGTCGTACAGTCCAACAGTCGAATCATGCAGCCAGCGAGTGAGCCGTACATAAAACATGAGTAAAGTATCTAAAATTCGGCACGACAACAACGTGAAAATCGTCAACAGACGAGGCCCATTTTCCACTTCCCATATCCCCAAGTTTTTCTCCCTTGCCAGATTTTGCAATTCACTTTTGGCAAACATTTTCCTGATGTTTTTCTTGGCCATCGCCCGAATGGGAAGGGGACTGGGTAAAACCCAGAAAAAAAACTTGTCTCTGATCTCCCTCTAAGCACACGCGCTATCCTCAAAAGTCTCCATGACGTCATGTGACTCGTGACCAAGCAACTCCATCAAGAAAGCCGAAGACCTTACCTTTTCTTCTTCGTGCCCCTCCCCAATACAATTGTCATCTTCGGCTTCTTTTTTGTTGAATGTTTACGGATCCCAGGTGGCAGATTCATAGAATAAATCGAAACCTATTGGAAATAAATAAGAGGCGACTTAGCAATCGAGCGGAAATATCGAAAGCGATCAGTTTTCACTCCGTATCTGCACGGCTTACCTTCTTTAGGAATCGCCTATTGCTATTCTGTTAACCGCTGCTGAAATCAGTAGTATACGGGAATTAGTATATATTAAGGTGTACAAATAAATATAACAACTTCTAAATCACTTACCTCTAAGAATATTTCATCAGTAAACGTAATTCTGGCATAATTTCTTAAAGAATGTGACCATTATCTATTGAAGAATTTATTCCTTTAAACGATAGCTGATGGTTTCGCCGATCTAATTAGATATCCAGGTCTGAAGAACCTCTCTTGGAGTGTATACCTAAGATTCTTTTCAGGTTCCATCATGTGGTTCTAATGCGATACCGTATGCGATGCGTTCTGCTCTCTGCCTACGTGCCGGAGAACGCGTTTCCATAGAAAACGTAACGCCATCGAAAACCCGGAATAGAGCGCGGGACATATGTATCCAAATCTTTAGTAGAAGGCAGAGAGGTAAACAGAATCCGAGGCGTGCTGTAAACAATGAGACCAAAGGGCCAGGGCGGCCTTCAATTGGGGATTGCGGTGTTCCCCCAATGGAAATTTACGATGATGTGAAGGTTTTCCCCCATCCACAGTCGAATGGTTTTTGTTTTGAGCGCTCTCGTTTCTCGTTCTGGCCGCTCGAGGGGGCCGACCTTGGCCCAGTTCCTTCCCTTGCCAAATGTTCCATCTGAACTTGAAAGTTGTTGTCCGTGGCACAACGGGATGGGATGTGTATGGTATAGGATGGAAGAAGGTTTCCCTGTCCCTGAACCGGTTCAGGTGAATGGGCGTTAATGGGACAGTTGCCTCGGGCATATCGGGGCTCAGTTCATCTTCATCATCATCGTCATCAAGCACAATGGGAATCAACAAACAACATCATCAATAAGTGGAAAATACGAGTGTATATATGGCACACACAGAAATAAATCTAGAATAAGCAGCACCTCCACTGTGGGGCCAGGCAGGGGAGAGCGCAGAGCAAGCGCCGCCGCTGTAGATAGACCCGTTTTTTGTATGCCGACATCGACGTAGATTCCGATTCCGATTCCGATGTTGACGAGGTCGCTGGGCCTCTGATTGGGGGCACGTGAAGTCAACGTGAACACCCGCCTCGAAGAGAGCGCGAATAAAACTGCGCTATTCATAATACGATTTTCGCTACGGCGAACATATCCCCCGGACAGCTGTCCGTCCGTTCGCACGAGCAGAGGCCACTCATTTTTGGACCCCAACCCTACTGAGAGGCGGCAAGGGGCAGACCCTGATAAGCAGAGCCGCCGATTCCCCAGCTGGACGCCGCATGGCCAATCTATCAGTCTGTCCGTTGGTCAGTCACAACATGAGCGAGAGGCGTGGCTCTTATCAGTTGCGGTTACTCTTATCGCCACCCCACTCAACCGCCTCCACCAACGGCCGACCCCCGGGCATGGAGTCAGTACGCCGCTTCCCATGCGCCGTCAGTGGCGAGGTTTATCAATCCGCGGTGCATGTTGGGGGGCTGGACCGGGCGTCCGGGTCCGGCTATGACTTTGGGAATGCAGGTGTTCGTTCGTTCGTTCGTTCGTGTGGTGGTTCGTCATTCATGCGGGGGTAATCTTTTCATGGCTGATCTTGGGGGTGGGTGGAAATTTGTGAATGAATCGCTGGTGTAGTTTTCGCTTTTAGATGGGGTTATCTGTAGAGATTTCTCATTCAGTTTGATTAAAGCTTCCTGTGTGCTGAAACGAAGCTCTGACCTCGGGCGACATTATTGAAAGTCAGACTTTTCTGTTTATGAGTCATATTTATACGTTAAAGATCCAGAAGCGATCGGTTTCCAGATACTTACGATTAGGTACAGTTCCAACAAAACATATCTCACAGAACAGTTATCATTTGGCTTATCATTTTTTGTGGGCATAAATTTACCTATTTATCTCTCCCTAAAGATGGAACCTTTGCGCATTATTCTCGTAAATACGTGTTCGTACAGTCGCAACAAAACTGTACCAGAGTACCAGAGAAACTGTACCTCTTTTTTCTCTACTCTACTATTTTCTACATTAAATTACCATATATTTTTAACGAATACCAACAAAATGTAACACTTCATTTCCTTGTTAGGTACAGTCGTCGCAAGCAAAACCATGAAAAAATCCTCCTTTCTTTGATATTTTTAGGAGCTCTATCCATGTCTCAGTATCCGGTCTTCCCACAATTCTCCTATCTCTAAGAGAACTTATATTGTTTTTTCTTCACAAAACACACCAATAATACACAAATTTTCCTTGATCTTTTCATGTTATGGAATAGCACTAAGGTCAAACAATTCCCGGAGATCTTTGTGGATACATTTTAATTTATTAAAAAATATTATGCAATCCCCAAATGTAAATACGAGTATCTCTTTCTCTATATCTATATCTGTTTTTCCTACCTAACATATTTATTTATCGAACTCATTGACAGCCATTGGCTGCGTGCACAGAGTCGAACAATCGGTGGCAAATCCGGGGCATGGCATGCTGTTTATCTAACGTACTCCCAAACGGGGCGGGTCTGCGGTCTGTTATGGTCTAGTCTGTGCCATGACGTAGCCAGACCTTGTTTATGGGGCGTTGGTTTTTGCGCTTGTTTTGGTTCCTTCGATTCAGGCGGAACGGCGGGGGTATAATTGCGATTAATGCCCTTGAGGGGTACGTAAACCCTATGGAGAGCTGGGCCAGAGCCTCTCCGCTTTGTGTGTCACAATGGAAACAGCCCAAGTGGGCAGCGCTCTCTCTTTGATTCTTCCTCTTTCCTTTCTGCAAATCATTCTTCATGTTTTTGTTGACAGTGTGGCCGCTGTTTGCCCAAGTGGGCGCGTTTGTTGTACTTGAAGGACGGAAGAGAGGGGCGCACAGCCGAGGGCAGTCGCAGTCTGAAGTCTTATCGCCAACCGATTACACTGGAAGAGCCACGGCCACGCAATGTGTGAATGGTCTAGCAGTGCACTCTCTACATTCTTCGCATTGCATCATACATGCATGACCTGAGATTAGGGGCTGCTAACCTGCTTGTGGCTTACACTTATCTGAGGAGAAGTATAGCCCTGCATTAATGGAACAGCCTCTTCTCCGGAAATTGGTCAATCTTCCACTGAAATCTTGAGATATTTCACTCCCCCGCCCTCTCTCTATATTCGTTGCAGTTCGTCAAACATGTATGATGATGGCGCTGCCAACCTGCTTTCTGCTCTTTAGCTTTCTTTAAGAAATTTCTTGGAACTGTTTTGCCCACTCTCCTACCCTTCGATCAGGTCGTGGACATGACCGGGTGGCGTGCTCAATGATTTTCAGTATTTAGCACATTTTTAGCTGCCTGCTCAGCGGCCTCTTCTTCCACCGATTGTTTGCTTTTGATGGCTAATCGAAGCACGAGCGCAACAAAAATTGAGGTTTTTTGTTGTTGTTGCCTCATTTTGCCTTTGCCCACATTTGATTTATTTTTAGCCACTCGCGACGCGTTTCAAATAATCAAAAGTCGGAGGGACTATGTATATAGATATGGCAGCAGAAGGAGGAGGACCAAACACCAAATAATTAACATATTTTTGCAAATTATTGATCGTGTGTGCTGGGGCCATAAATCCGATGATTGGAGACTCGAGATCCCGAGATCCCGAGATATCTGAGATCAAAACATTTAAACGGGGCATGAATTAAATTTAATTTTTTTATTTTAATGTTTTTATTTTGTTCATCATACATCTGAGGGTTTTTGCACTTTAGCAAGGACAACGACGGAAGTGAACATCAGTTGTGCGTTGCATTTAAGGTCAACGCGCAAAAATTCAGAAAACGTTGAACCAAAAAACATTGAAGAGAAGTGTAGAAGCGAAGTGAAGGGGAAACAACGAGTCGTCAGCATTCATTGGATGAGTGCAAAATGTAAAGCAGGCCGGTCAGATCAGCAAACAATACAAACAAGTAGAGGAACGACATGCTAGTCTGATCATACGACCATGGGAATACCCGCTAAACAGCCTCTAAATGAGCCTCTAACAATGCTAGTGAAAGATATAGGGATACGCTTAAAGGGGACTCCATTTGCAGTGCTAGGAAAAGCTAAGTCTATTCCCAAGGATTAATTGATAATAGAATTAAAAGTAACTTTAGCTTCTATTCCTAGGTGTTTTGTACAGTTACGCTCTTTGCCTAGAGATGACACATCTTCACTTGTATCTTCCTGCGATTTGTACCGATTAACTTGTACAAATTTCGATTAATTGATCAGGGGTATCGTTGCATATAATATCTTATTTATATATTATTGCCCATGGATCTGTTATTTATCGAGTGTTCTGCCAAAGCAAAACAATGTACCCTTGAACTCCCCCTCCCGCATTCCGTGGTACAACAACATCTACACACAGAGATCTCTCAACACTTGAACAGCTATAAAAGCGAATCTTGGGCGAGTTTGAACTTTGGAATGATGTCATTTGAGTCACTCTCCCTCTCTCTTGCTCTTTGAATCACCTATCGCTTCATGCGTAAGGCGAATGATCGCACAATCCCCTCCAACGTTACTGACTGAGTGATCGATCGCTCTGTGCAGAAGCAGAAGTTGAAGGTGAAGGCGAAGGTGACCCTGGCACACGTGAACCGCAAATTGCGCTCAAAGTTCGCCCCCAAAATTCGCATCCGCCAACCAGTTCCACGCTGTGTGAAGTACCGAAATCTCCAAGCCAATTTCCATGGTACTTGTAGCGGTAATCGCCATACGACATCGCCAACAATTTCATCATCCTCCTCTTTTGTCCGGTCAACTTCGGGTGAATTCGCTATAAATAGACGCGGCGAATGGGAATTCATTGCGAGATAAGAACACCGAGGGGCCGAGTCAATGGAAAGTGGAGCGCTATGGCAGGCAGGGGAAGTCCCCCGAAGTTCTATGAAAGGGAGAGCTTAAAGATAGGAAACTCCCATCCTCTGAAACTATGATAAGAGTAGAGTCTTCTGTGTGGATAACATTGTTAAAGTAGAGCTTAATATAAGAAAATAGCATAAATTCTAGACCATTTGAAAATATCTCGAAGGAATGCTACTGGGAAGCATCTTGGCAATTGGTGACTTTTGAAATGGCCCTCTGAATCCATCAATGGTTATCGTCAAGGACCTGTAGAATACAAATATGCTGTTCCTTTTTGGTTTTCGGAGCATATTTTCGGGAAAAGAACTCTGCAGATCCTAACCCTATTTGAAAACCCGTTTGAAATTCAAACGCAGTACCGGAATCGCCCCATCTGGCAGCACTGCGACCTGTGATCGTGTTGGTTATCGATAGAAGGACAGATCGTCTAAAGTCTGTGTTTACATTTGAAGAGTTAAAAATGGAAGAAGAGAACAGCGAGGAGCAGGTTTTGGAGAAGTTTTCCAAAATGTCCTTCTCGTACAATGCGTTCAGGGACTTCATTAACCACCAGGAGGTGATCATCCAGGACGATGTGGTGATGACGGCCTTTTGCGATGCGATTCGGCATGCACACATCTTCGAAGGCGCCACAGTGCTCGAGGTGGACTGCGGCAGTGCCCTGCTTTCGATGTTGGTGGCCAAGCAAGGAGCCGCCCGGGTGTTTGCCGTGGACTCTGGCAATGCGGCGCAGGTGGCGCGCCAGTTGGTGCGCGAGAACGGCCTGGACAGCGTGATTGAGGTGATTCAGGGCGACATTCGGAGCTTGAAGCTTCCCCCAGTCGATGTCATAGTATCCAAGTGGATGGGGTAAGTCCTAGTCTACGCCACACACTCGATTCTTATTGTACTGCCTCCTGCAGGGCCTGTCTGTTGTATAACTCGGCTTTGGATCGGGTCATCTATGCGCGCGACAAGTGGCTCAAGCCCAACGGATGCATCTTTCCGGACACGGCCAGGCTTTATCTCTCGGTGGCCGAGGACAGGAATACGGAACGGCCCAGGCATTTCTGGTCGCGCTTTTTAGGCTTCAATATGTCCCATGCGGCAGGCATTGTCCAGCAGCTACCGAAAGTGGGTTGCGTGCTGGCACGCCAGATACTCGCCAAACCGCAGGAGATATGGAAAATGGATCTGCGTACCATCAAGAGCGACCAACTGAGCTTCAAAGTGCCCTTTCAACTGCTCGTGCAGCGTCAGGAGATCATCGATCTGTTTGTCGTGCACTTTGACTTTAGCTTCTCGGGCGGCACCGATGAGAAGGTGGTGTCCACCAGTCCCTGGGCTCCGAGCACTCACTGGCAGCAGACTCTCTTCCATATCGATCAGCATCTGCCCATATGCAGGGGCGAAAAATTCTCGGGCAACTTTTCCGTTTCTCGTGGGGCCAACTATCTGGACTTTGACATCGAGTGGGGCTTCCGTAATAAGCTGGTAAAGATTAAGGAACACAAGCAAATCTTTCGCTTGGGTGGCGGCTGCAAGGACAAGCCATAGCCCAAGGATGGGGCTAGTGATGACTGAGAGACTGCCATTGAATGGAAAGTAATATAAGTTTTATTTTAATCGTAAAATACTAGCCGGCGAGGAGTGCTTGAGATTTTTTTTGCCAAAGGAAGGCGGCACCTTTTTTTTTTAGTATATACATAAGTATATAAATATAAGTATATCTCTGTAGATTATTTGTTTGCCCAAGAGAGCTTCTACTGTATTTGATCTGTACTGTATCCCCATCCCAGGGTCACTCGTCATTACGTATACGCCTCATCGGACGAACCTACCGCAATGGCGGCCCCAAGAGCCAAAAAAAGCCCAAGTACCAATTAGCAGGGGTCTAAACAGAGAGCGCCCCGAAGAGAGCGAAAGGCTAAGAACGAGTGCGGGGGTAAAGAGAGAGAGAAGAGAGAATTCTATTGCTGCTATAAATACACCCCTTCGATGGACAGCGCATCAGTGGAGGAGAAAGGGGGGCATGGACTTTGATCGACTGCAGCAAGCAGCGAATTTTTTGTGGGCGGTGGCACTCTACGTCTCCGTCTGCGTCTGCGTCTCTGTCTGCGTCAGCGCCGGCGTCAACGCCGTTGCCATAACGGCACAAGAGATTTTTGTGGGCAAGTGCAGGTCGCAACAACAAAGAAGCGTAGCGTTTTATAAAAATAAATGAATAATTTTATCTGCTTTTCTTGGCTTTTGGGCAGTACGGACTACCGCTTATGCGCCAGACTTGGCGAATTTCATCAGCTGTTTTAATTTATGCAAGGAGCCCCCAAAAATCTGAGATCAGATGAGGTGTGTGCGTGCGTGTGTGTGTGTGCGTGTGTGTGTGGATTGCAGAAAGGTATGCTCCAGGGGAGTGTAAGGCAGAATATACACCTTTCCAACGAACCATCCCCGAGAGAGAGAGAGAATCAATCAGAGAAGAGTCTCCCACTCAAAATTAAGAGAGGTCGCCGCCTGCCAGGGCTGCAGGCGCGCACAGTGGATCGTGTGGATCATTGCACCCACAGCCACAGCGACAGCCACAGCCACAACCCGCAAGGTAACTGCACCTTGGGTCAATGATATGCGGCGCAGGCAGCGCTTCCACCCGCCAAAAAATCCCTCAAATATTCGGTTATATTTTGCGTGTGTTTTCGTTTTCGTTTATTTTTTGCAGCGGCTGCTGTCATTTCCATTTCCATTTTCAGTCACCGGGCATGGCCTTGCCGGCAGAAGTTGCTTGACCTGGAAGTTGCTTATGCCCCCCGCCCCACCCCTCGCTGGTTCCGTTGTTGCCTCGTTTCGCCTTGCCTCCAGCGCGGAGTGTAATGCACTATGATTACAGAGGGAGGCCGATTCGGTCACACACAGATACAGATACAGCTACAGATATGTATCTTTTTTTCGGTGAGCTTTTGTTTTCTTAAGTCAATGAAACAGCAGGGTATCTAGAGCGGCTTCCGACCCACGGGGACACCTAGGATGTACTATATATATCCGTAGAATAAAGTGTGTGAAATGCGGTTCATATAATTATTTAAAATTTTGGAATCTCTCTGGAACCATAGCCGTCTTTATACCATTTACGACGAAAGAAGGTATCCTACATATTGTATATGTCTTTTTTTTAGAGTATGTTTCATAAGTTGGATCCACTAATATTGGTTGACTATATCATAAGGGAAATATCTTTAAAAAAACAAGTTTCTGTGGGAGAAACTCTTTTGTTTGTGAAGATATATCAACCAAACTTTGTCAAATTTGATAACATGTGTGAATAAATAACTTAACCGAAAATCTTCAAAATCGGTGGACTATATCATATAGCTGGCATAGAAACCTTGGTTCAAAAAACCAGTTGCTGTGGGGGAAACGTTTTTGTTTGTAGAGATAATACAATCAAACGTTCACATTTGTTTTTGTATATTTTTTTACATAACTCACAAAGATTTTATCAAAATCGGATGATTATATCATATAGCTGCCATAGGAACAGTGGACTAAAAAATATGTCTTTGTGGAAAAAAACGGTAGACTATCTTCTATACCCGTCATAGGGTATGTGGTTGCAAGAGTATTAATCGTAAAAGCTACGTTCCCTTCCCCCAAGGTGCTCGAACGAATAACCTTCCGTTTTTTTGGTTTTAACCTGTTTTTAGTGATTCTTTTATTTATAGGTTTGTTGGGCGATTGCCGAAAATGCATTCAGCACAGAGAGCGATGATCAGGGATTGCCGAAAAAGTCATCAGAAGGCAGCAGGCAGGCAGGCAGGCAGCGAGTGGGGGTTTAATGAACGCAGCGAAGGTCAACGGTGCGTATACTTCATTAGCGATTAATGAAACGGAGGGAGGAATGGGAGCGGTGTTGGCCGCAAAAGGACAGAAGAGCAGGGAGACCACAAATGACCCAAGGGTGAACGGCTAATCGACTTGGCCATATGTCAGCGTGGATTATGCTCTGCTCTAACTGGTTTTTGGTTTTCTTTTCCGATATTTATGGCCATGCATCCCATTTGCATAGAACGAACCACCCCCATTCCTCGCCATTTTTCAGGACTCTGAGCGGCCAACAGGAAGCATTTCATTTCCGTTGCTGTCGCAATTTTTTAAATCTATGAGCGTCCAATGCAAAGCAGTCGGTAATAAAAAAAAGGTGGAATTGCCATTAAAATACGGGCAATAGGTGCAAATTACAAGACAAAAAGGTAAAGCGACAGAAAAAAATTAGACAGAAACCGAAAATGCGGAAGTGCAGCTAACAAAATGGTTGGACAGGAAATGAAATTCTGTCAGTGAAAGAAAAATACTTATTATTTATATACAATAAATATGTTGGTGGGGGTCTTATTCTTAAAAGACACATTTTGTGAAAGAAAATTGAATTTAAATTTGAATTAGGCGCCTATTGGCTAGCGCCATCTATAAGGCAGCCTAAAAGTATGCTCAGCTGTTTGAAAAAGCTGACAACTTGCTATAAAGCGCTAGGCAATTGCTCATATATGCGTTTGAGGGATTCTGTTAGTCCTAACGCGTCACCTGTCAGCAGTTGGAGCCAAAAAGAAAGAAAAGCTAAAAATAAACGAATTATAAAGAAATTAGGCAATTAAATGTTCCCAAAAGTGAACAGCTATAATGTTGCAGGTTATAGTCAACTAATAATTCAACTAATTTGAGTGATTAACAAACAAAAAGTGCATGAAACAGCAGATGAAGAAGAGCGTAAGCCACAAGCAGCCGAATTTGCAGATTTGTTATTTAAATAATATTAAACAAATTGAAAACGAACAATGGAATTGCCTTAAGCGCATCTTTCCGGCTTCCATCGTACAGTTAATTGTGCCCAAAACAACAGTAAATTGCAGCACAACGGTTGTGCAAGGCGTGCGAATGTGAGAGGGGAGTGAGGTGGTGTTAGTGCCTTGTCTTCCTTCCCGGGGGAAAACGTGCGTAAATGTTTCGGCGTTTTTGTTTTGATTCTTATCATGCTGCGAAGCAGACGGCAAAGCGCACGAGGCAGTGAAAAATAAAGTAAAAACAAAATGAAAATCCGAGAGAAAATGAGAAATGCGCGCGCATACGGTGCTCTCTCGCTCTCCATGTGGCGCTCTCTGTGGCCACCGGTTTTTCTGCTTTGTGCGAGCTTTCGTCGATTTTGGAGCGAAGCAGCAGCCCCAACGCGTTTGGCGACGCCAACCTGCTTACAGTTTTAGTTGGGAGCTTGCACTGTTCGGACGTTCAAAAGCCCACAAGCCACGCCCCCACCGACAAGGCACTGGCAAAACACGCGACAAGGCAGCAACAATTGCAAATTACTGTAAAGCCCGATCATCATTCACATTAGTTATTGGGTGATAATATCCCCATTGCATTCCGTTTCGTTTCAAGCCACCTATTCTGTTCAATTGCATTCCATTCCCTTACGTTACGTTACGCGATCTGTGCGCGCCCGCGCGTTTTTTGTCGCCCGCCAACCGCGTCGATCGTTAAAAATTCATTAGAGCTTATTAATCGCTCGAAGCCATAGAAATAATCGCAATAATTATAAATTATTGATACTTGCGAGTGCCCGTGCCCCGTGCCCCCCTCACCCCAACAAGTGTGTGAATTCTTTCCTCTCGCCTCTCGCTGTGCGTCAGTGTGTGCGTGTGTGTTCCGGTGCAGTCCCGTTCCCATCCATTCATCCGATCGCCGACTGCCGACCGCCGACCGCCGGTAAATGTCCACGGAAAAGGAAACGAAACGGATCTGATGCAGACGTTGCCGCCGCAGTAGCCGCTCCGCTCCGCACGCCCGCCGTTGGACCCCCCGCCGCCGTCCGCATACAATGTCACGACGCAAACAATCAAACCCGAAGCCGTTGAATAAAGGTAGGAGATTTCCTTCAGTCTTCCTGCCCTACTCTTTCAATTCCCGCGATGAGCGATGGGCTTGGGTTCTCCCACCCATGACCCATTCCAGAATGTTTTTGCATGGTCAGCAGATCTTTCGGTTCTTTCTCATGTGCTCCCCTCATGTGAACATGTGAAAGAACAAACAATGAGGGGGGGTGCAAAAGAAAGAAAGAGAGAAATTATGCCAAGACAAAAAAAAAGCGTGAAGCGAATATAGAATTCCCTGTAATATCAAGCAGAAAATGCCCAAAAACAGTCTGCTTTGTGTTATTTAAAGATCGGAATAACTTGCTTATTGGAATATCTTATTTTTGTTGTATTTGTTAGACGATCAAGGCTGTTTTTGGCATATAGATCAGCTCTCTAATTGTAGATTTAAGAGATCTTGCCCAGGGGCGTGATCCCCAACCAATAGACCCTTTGTGCACCCTACGACCACCATGGCATTATCTCTAGAGAGTGAATGGCAAACTATGCCACAAGAAAACGACAAGAAAAAGCGCATAAAAGTGAATTCAACTTTTGTCTCTGTATCTGTTTCTGTATTTTATTTAAATGAAATTTCTTTGTCAACCCGTTATCGATATCGATACTTGTCGTACGTGCTGGACGGACAGACTTGGCTCTGGGGTAGAGACCGCTGGAGAGATTGGGGCTTGGGGAGTGGGGCGAGTATTAACTAATTACATTTCGCTGTTGTTGCTTGTTACTTTGTTGTTTTGCCATTTGATATTTATTTATGGCCCCGAACCGTTTGACATCCGATGAATGCATTTCGAAATCGAAATCGATAAAACGTGCCCCGGACCTGTGACACTGGACACCTCCGCCGCGGCCCCCTCCCCGTCTCGAAATCACCTTAGAGTTCACCTCTGCCATCCCCCGGAGCCACCCACTCCCTCCCACTCTTTCCGCTCTTTATCCATTTGCCATTTTGGACTCCTTATCGTTGCTCGTTGGCCGTTGCCGTTGCTGCCGCTCCAAGCACGTTTCTCGGCTCGGTGACTCTGCCACTGCCACTGCCACTGCTCATGGCTCTGCCTGGTGGCCCAACCCAAGCACAACCCACAAATGATATCACAACGAGCGTCTCATGAAAGTGGAACTTATACTTGGAACTATCCAAGAACAATTCCAGTGGTTTCATCGAGAGGTTTGATACTCTCGAAGACAAAGAGGATGATCATTTTGGGGGAAACACTCTTCACTTTGGAGAGCACGAGAGTTAGGATAAAAGAGTACTGGATTCTATCAAGCGATGGTCGCGAATCTATCGATCTTTTCAGTAATCGAATGCCGTAGAAGTCTAAGGAGGCTCTATAATGGAACTTTATGGAAATACCATAATCCATAGAGATATATGTATATATCTAAGTATAGAAATTATAGAATATCTCTTCATAAGTGATATTTGTATGAGATATATCTATGCGGAACCATTTTCGACTATAAGATATCCGATATTCGGCGTATTATCGAAACAACCCGCATATTAAGACCCACAAAATGAGAAAAATCTTTCCGAACAAATTCTAAAAAACAAAAACTTAGCAATCCGCCACGATAAAAACCTTCCGATCAGTTTTTGTCTGCATTCTCTATAAATTCCATATGGATTTTCTCCCTTAAATTCTCTCCGTACATTAGTCCTTCTGTTAGAGAGCTCCCTCTAAAGCTCCGCTTCTCAGATTCTATCAACTCTTTTTTTTATAGGGTACCAGCTAGAATGGATAACAAAAAACTTCACGACTTGCGTTCCGATAAATTAGGGCATTTATCTGTGCAGCTGTTGGCTGTTGGCTGTGGCTGTTGTTGCTGTTGTTGTGGCACCTGCACTATCAGTGGGTTATCCCTGAGCCAACTCTACGGCTCTCTCTCTCCCGACACTCCCGTCTCCTCTGCCTCCCTCTGCCCCCCTCGTGGCCCCCTCCCAACTATTCTGCTTTGCATATTTATCTCTTGCACACACTTGCCTCGCTTCTATCGCCTGCTGCTGCCTCCACGAGTACTTGTGTGCCCCGCGCATGGTTTTCTATAGCGAAAAGTGGGGTCTCAGCGGGACAGAGGGGGGATGGTGGAACTCAAAGCGCAACTAGATAAACTTTTATCACAATTGCAATACCAACAACAACAGAAACAACACCAAAAAAAAAAGAAACAACACAAACAGCATTTTGCGTTGCCTTTGTTGAGGGCTTTTCGAAGTTGCTTTTACATAAGCTTCAATAACTGACATTTCTATCGGAATGCCTGAGTCGTCGCAGTCGCAGTCGTTATCGTAGACCCGCTTTAGGTATCGCGATGACAACCAACGCCTGTGGGTTCCCCTATTTTTTGAATACCCTATCAAAAGGGTTATTCTAGAAGAAAGGGGAGGCTCTTTTAGATGATTTTATGTATAATGTGAATGAAAACACTTGGATAGCTTACATATGTGACTAGGGAGAAGGTAATGAATGTCTAATAAAGAGATTGAGTTTGTAAACTGAATGGAGAGAGTGTGCTCTCCATCAGAAGATCCATATTTATTCTTACCATTGTAGATCGGTTATAAAAATACATATATCGTAAGATATAGAGCTCTTTCAACTGGGTTTTGTTAAAAGAACTCTCTAGATAATGTAAAAGTTGGATACATGGAGCCAAAGTCTTATATTCTGCATTCTCAAAGATATAAAATCTTACTTTTCTCCAAGACCCAGCCTAAAATGGAATAAGATCTTGTAGTAGCGATCCTTAGTTGCAGAAAATACATATTTTTGTCGATCAATTTATTGTTTTCTTTCAATGAATCAAAAAATATGTATTTCTTTTTTGCATAAAATTAATTTAATTTCTCTTACGAGTATAATTTATAGTCTCTGTTCTATAGATGATAACTAAATAATTGCTTCAGTATTGATGATTATTACTGACAGATTTCTCCGTAAATTAGATAATATCTGTATCAGTAACAGTTTCGCTCTGTATCTTGAAGTCACGTACAATTAATAGGAATCCAGCGGCCTTCTTGATGATTGAAGTTGCATAAATTGGTTATCAATTGAATAAACAATTTAATAAGCAGAGAAAAAAACATCAGTAAAAACAACATTTCATAAGAAAAGTTTCATATCTGTGGGATTGAGTCATTTTAGATAATAAATTTAATGCATAAATAAACAAAATTAATCCCAAATTATATATAATTGAAATGAATCAAAGCATTTCCTAATGCTAAAAGTTGAAATATGGTTTAAGGCTAGAAGAATATATTTTTTCTATTCATCAATAGAATATAAATTCTTTATTTATCTTTATACATTTTTTATTTTATTTTATTCATTTATCCATCTATATTTTTATCCAATGAAATTAAATTATTAATTAAATTAAATATTATATATTTTAATCTTATGCATTTATCCATATACTTTTATCCATTGAAATAATCGAATCAGAAGACTCTTAAGTGTATTCCCATCGTCCCTTTCCTGCATCTGCCTTTTGTATCTTCCACCTGCCTTTTGGCCATCGTCTCTCTCTCTCTCTCTCTCCTTTTCTAGCTTTCGACCCTGGGGGAGTGCACTCCCCCTCCCCTGTTGCTCCCGCTGCGCGCATAGATAAACACTTTTTTGTTTCGGTTTGTTGTTTTTTATAAATTTTTAATTACGCTTATCACTAATTTTATGTTAATTGCCAGCTGTTGCCAGGTTGTTCTCCCAGCACCAAAAGACACCTGAGAGAACCCATCGGAGGCCCCCAATCGTCATGCGGGTGACAATTTTGGCCAGCAGACACAAGTCCGCAAGGCGTCTCGAAGCGGGCACTGGCTGTCCGCCTCGCCTCGCCTTGCCCTGCCTCGCTTCGGTTCGGTTCGCTACGCTTCATTCTGTGTTTGGGGCTGGGGCTGGGGCTGGGGCTGGGGCTGGGGCTGGCGCTGGCGCTGGGGCTCTGGGGCTCTGGGGGTCCCTCTCGCTCATATCTGGAATCGGCAGCGGGTACGTGTCATGAGGTTTGGATGAGGTTCGCTTTGGCTTCGCTTTGGAGATAAGAGAAGCTCTGGCTCTGTGGCTCTGTGGCTCTAACTGCGTTTTGCAATTGCAGTTTGCAGTTTGCTGCAGAATGATAAAGCCACGGCGAGGGGTCTTGGCTCTGCTCTCAGGTTGCTGCAAGCCAAAGCCAATGCCCAAGGCCTTCCCTGCCCCGCCCTTCCCCCTGTCTCTGCCTCTCTAATTTCCACTCTCTCTGGCTCTGGCTCTGGCCACTGCTCTGCTGTCCATTTCAATTGGCAAAGATAATCTCGAGCTTTGGCCATTTTGACATTGTATTTTAATAATTGCGATAAGCTTTTTCCCCCCTCTTTTCCCCCTCTTTCTCTATCTCTCTCTCTCTCTCTCTGTTACCCTCTTTGTATCTCTGCCTCTGCCTCTGTTTTGTTGATTTGCTTTGGTGCATTGGAATCGCGTACCAGGAAATATCAGCAGATAAAAAACACCAGCACCAACACCAACACCAACAACAACAACAGCAATGACACCACCACCAACAAAAGTACATCACAAAAACAACAACACGAAAGAAAGAAACCAAAGCGCGCTTTGAGGGTAACGACGCTTATGATACCCTTGCCAAACGATCGCTTCGAAACGAAAAAAGATATTAGATTTCTGCACAATTTTGATAAGCTTGGAAAAAACTTGGAACTTGGAGCTACAGTTCTTTGGGAACAGGTCGAGTTTCTACACAAAGGTCGATCGTTTCTATAAGAGATACCACAATATCTTTCATTCTGGAACCTGTATCAGCACACGGAAATGCATCACAGTCTTTGATTGGAAATATCCTATCGGTAATATGCAGAAAAACATTACGAATATTCCTTAGGACTCTGAACTATCATCAGGTCGAACTATCCTTCGCTAAAGATGCTCTCTTTCGAGGACCATCCGTTTGTGGTGCGGAACCAAAGACTTTGGTTGTCTCTTTCTAGCGCT